AATTAACCTGTCTTAAGTGTACTCACTTCACAATATGGCTTTGAAGAGTCTGATCATAGGAGGGGAATTAAAAAAAAAAAAAAAAAAAAAGACATTTCTCATAAAATGGCAAGTGCACCAAATTTTAGGTTAATTAATATAGGACGGACACCTTTCTTGACTTACAAAATCACCAATTTTCTGTTTTTCTGAGTTTTTGTAAAATAGATTATATGCACGTTGACTGTGGGAAGCCTAACTACAAATTTAATTGTGAGAAGATAATTGGAAGGATTCTTTCCTCTGATGAGATTTTATTAATACTGATGATTTGCAAGACAAGACCTTGCAGAACTAAAGTTAGTTTAGCATGACTGGCATATGGAAAGTGGAAAAACTGAAAGAGATTCCACACACACACACACACATTTGACTTTATTTCTTGTGTATGTCTTCTTGATCTATTTGATTCTTAAGTTCTTGATAACTCATCGATCTAGAAAACTCCCTTAGTCATTTTTACATTCACATTTCAAAGAAGAATCAAATTTCATGGCCCAGCTTTTGAGAACATTCATCCTTTAGCTGTTACATCTCCCAAAGAAGAAATTAAATGCAAAAATCAAATGAAAGCATGTTAAAAAAAATAAATCAATCCAACATGAAAAGTTTAACATGGTGCTGGATTTTTCTTTTCTCACTGAAATCACGTATTATATTAGACACTATTAGCAAGAATGATTAGTGTTCTGGGTAATATTCCTCCTACAGCTGTTGCTGTAACTGGATAGATAATATTTCTAGTAAGCACCAGTTTGTCTTACAAAGTGCAAATTTTATGAGTAAAATGGTAATTCCTAAGAAGTCAGTCACGAATCACAGTACCCACCTTGTATCAGGTAGTTACAGAAAGTTCCACAAAAGACTAGGAGCAAATGTTTATGGATATATTGCACCAACCTAAAAGATTTTCAGAAATATGTTGGGAAGAAACTTTTTCCCAATCCCTCAGCTGAACCTTGTGTAGCTACCACTCTAAGTAAAACAGTAAGAAAGCTTCCCAGCTTCACAAGATTTGTGACAAAATATAAACGTTGACAACACTGATTTTTTTGTTAATGTAAACCTCGATATTGCAAGAGTTGAAAAGGCTGCATATTCCATGCAGATTCTATAATCAAAGCCAGGGCTGAAGATTACACTCCTCCTGGGAAGGCAGGGAAACAGCCAGAGGCCTTTCCCATAGGGCCAGCTAGGCTAACAGCTGTTGGCCAAATGCCTTCATGGACATCCAGATGGGACCTCCTTTATTCTCCTCTGTCCAAGTGGAGGAGGATTTGCTATTCTAGTTGCCTCCAGGAAGCAAAGAAAACCTAAGGGCTATTTTCACAGATTACGTAGGTACACAAAGCAGCATAGGCATAGTGCTGGTAAGCTGGCTAGAAAGAGGGTGATGACTGCACATAAATGTGCTCACATCATGTTGCCAGAAACACCTGCTAAATCAGCTGCTGCAAATGCAGAGTTAAAGGTCTGAGTAGTTTCTCTCCCTCCCTTAATCCCTTCGCTGTAAATATATGCCTAACATGCAGGAAGAGAACATGCAGCAGCAGTCTCAGTTTGAACCTAGGACATATCCTGAGCACACTGCATAGCAGCGCTCATGATCCCTAAGGAGGAGGAATCAGGCGCAGGCCTGAGCCAAGCCACATGTAACCGAGTCCAACATGGCACATCAGTCAGCTTACAGCCAGAATTCACAAACATTTAAGTCTCTTGAATGTTTACGCTTACAATTTTTTAACCAGGGGATTATGCTGTCAGTATTTCTTGTATTTAACGTGTACCCACGTTGCAATGAATACCAGCAGAACTGGTATGAGCATTGTGAGTTTCCAACTAGAAAAAAAAAATTACTAAAACATGCAAACTGACTCCTCAGCAGAAAGAGAGCAGCAATTCAGAATTCAGAGTAAAGTAACACTACAACTGGCTGCTGGTAATTATTTACAATACAAAATCCTGTTTTTGCTTAACTGCAGTGTCAGCCTATCGTCAAAGTAGCAGCTTTTAAGTTGGATTTGATTTTCAATTCAGGTAAGAAGTAGTAGAATTTGGCTCAATTTCTTTTGCAAAAGTGATCCCCGTTACAGTGGGAAGTGAAATGATAGGCCTGCCTTTAAAAGTTTGTTGTTCTGAGAGCTGCAGAGGTAAAATGATCAAAAACAAGTTCTCATCCTTTAAGACTAAAAACAGCACAAAGAGTTTCTATGAAAATTGCATGAAACAGATTAATTAGCTACTTAGAAGTCACCTAGGGATGCAAAGAGCAGACCAACTGAGCAATGACCCCACAGGTGCTTGTTCTACAATTACACAGTGACTAGCATCAGCTTTATTCTACTAACGCTTCCAGCAGACTTCACTCAACTATCCTGTCACTGCTAGTGGAAAAATACACCGAAAACTTCAGAATCTAGGAGTGAGCGCTCATCGGCTACATACAGCAGAAGTGGCCTAACATTACATTCATGCAAGGACAGGATCTAAGGAAAGCAGCAGTGCTACTACAATTACATTAAACTGCAATACTCATTTAATGAACATGTGCAAGTGAAGTGTGTTTTACAGTTATTTTGCTGTTAAACAAATTATACCATCAGCAGTCTGTTCCATGTGAAAATGACCATTTAGAAGTCATGGTACTACACCAACCTAGAAAATGAAGCAGGATGGGCCTCTGTGCAGGCATGCATAGTGATGAATCAATGAACTTCTTGGATTACGTTAAGGATATCTCCACAAACATACTCCTTCTTTGACCACAAGAAAAATTGAGAGTGAAGACTACAAGAACAGATGTAATAATAAGGATAACTGCAACCATCCCTCCATATGAAAAATCCAAACTTTCTCTTCTGAATATATACTTTTCTATTTTCCACAAAAGGAACAATAGCTGGAGACCTGATGCTGTTTTGAATACTTAAGTCTCACTGCTTGTAAGTTTCCTAAAGTAAAGAACAACTTTAGACACTACAACAAAAAATCCAGGAAAGCTGACTTTTCTTTTATTTGGAAGGGGTGGGAGAAAAAGGTAAATATATATCAGGAAATGGTTTACAGTAGATCATGTAGACCCTTAAGGAGATAAAGGAAAATATACCTACAACAAATTCTGCCACCCTTTTAATGCCACTTGCACATGCAATACTTACAAATGCTGGATGGTGCAGTCACATATTTCACACATTTTCAGCTGTCTGAAAGTCATTGATCTTGAAAAGTTAGCTTACCTGTAAAATATGGACTTACAAAAATACAAACTATCACTGCAGTTAATAAAAAATGGAAATTGCTCAGTGGGTTATTTATCAGCTGCAGCCAACATGCAGTAGCATAGCCTTCTGCCTGTCCTTACTGTCCTTTATGTACTTGACAAGTGCATAAAGAAATAAGAAAGGACATGAAAGTGGAAAAGATAATCAACATGGAGAAGATATAGACAATGAAAGTATCCTTGGAAGCTGAGGAAAATGATCCATTATCTTGGGATAATGGAAAAGAATAGCATATATAGGACATACCAGACTCCACCATTTCTGGCTAGCTGTGCACAGATGCTAATCCAATTTTAGGATGATTGGAAATGTTTTCTTTATTGAAAGATACCTATTGCCATACCAGATGTTATTCACTCTTCAGAAGTCCAAGAAGCAATAAGTAATTTCATGATAGGAATATTTTGTTCAAGTGAATAAAGCAAGCAACCACACAAGAGGGACTAAGGCAGAGCATTAATGGAAGAACATTCACAGAAGGTGGAAAAGAGATTAAAAGCTTTCTGATATTCTGATAGTATGTTACTAAAATCACTTTTCCTCACCTGTTGTCATTCATTCATAGCAAAGGAGGCAGATTCAAAAAGAGTATGGCATTCAAAAAGGGTTAAAAAGCGTTGTAGAATAAGGATTACACCCACACTCCAGGTGAGTCAGTGAAATGAAAGACTGGAGACAACCTTCTTTCCCCAAGAATTATAATTTCATCAGGTATCTGTACAGGAAGTGTTAATGATGGATCGTCTCAGATGCGTGAGTTGCAGGCTACCTGAATCGCATTCATGATGTCCATCTTCCCAAGGTGTCCACATCAATAAAAGTAAGATGACAAAAACTGAAGAAATTACATTCAGCCAGTTACTTGAATAAAATTAAGTTTTCTCTCTCCTTCCATTTTCTCCCCCACCCCCCAGCTGTTTTTGCACCATACTTCAAAGCCTTATTTACATTCATACCAAATCTGTTTACAGTCAACTTCACTGTGATACTGAAGCTTTTTTTTTAGCCCAACTAAGACACAAAGCAAAGCTGGCCAGGTGTCTCTAAACCACAGAGCCAGCTGCTCCTAACCAAGCTCACAGGAAATAGCAAGGAAAATATGCAGCATTTGACACATCTGGAATAGATTGGAGAGTCTTTGAAAACTGTGTCCCAATTCCCTTCCTCCTGCTGATGAGATTTCAGGCTACCAAACTGCTGCATCAACTAAACAGGATTAGGTAACGTGTACATTTTTAACCCTACATATTGTTTGTCCAAAGGAGAATTTTTGCAAGTTAGTCCAGCAAAAAAATAAAAAAAAAATAAAGGGGGGGGGGAACAACTGAGTATCTGTAGGAAGCTTTCCATAAAAACATAGTAGAGCAAACAAAAAATCAGTCAGAAGACTGCTATTTAATTTAGGAAAATTGATACAGATGGAAAATAGTACTAGCTGACACTAGTAAACATAGAAAAGGAATCGATACTGCATGCTTTGCACAGTTGCATTAACTCATTAAAAGAAATGTTCTTACAGTACTGTTGCCATAAAGCACAAGATGAAAAGGAGAAGAGCAGAGAATAGAGATTAGTAATTATTTTGCCAACTAATTTGTCTGTAATGCCAGAAGTACTGCAGTGTGCAATTTTCAATGTGAAACCCACCTCCACACCCAAAACAAAAAGCCTAAGTCTTAATTAGCAAAACAAAGCAATGTTTTATTATCTCCATTTCTTTTTCATAAGGACAATGAATGCAAAAGAACACAGAAACAAACAGCTAAGTTTAGAAGGAACTTCCAATCAGATATTGAAGATAACACAATTTTATTTTCCATAAAAAGCTGGGAAGTGAAGGTGCCCCTAAAGTTTTAGTCACTTTCAGTACCTCTGAAAGTTTAAGAAAATGAATAATGTAACCAGTTTACATATGCATTTTTAACATTCATTATAGATACAAAATTGAATACAGCACTAGCTTAAAACAACATAAACCTCATTCTTAATGTTAGTAATAAAAGGCAAAATTCTAATACAAAAAGAAAAAATGGAGGAAAGTATTTGTAATTTTTCCCCAAAGGTGCAACCAATGTATTTTGCAACTGAGATTCCAGTTGTACAAAGGACTGAGAGATGTGTTCTCCTACTTAGGTAGACACATAAACCATTAAACATTAAAGGAAATCAAATGTGCATGAACACAAGAGAGTACCCCTTAAAAGAGATGATATTTATAGGAAAGTAATGGTATAACTTAAATGAATACTGAGAGAAGTGCAACACACTTTTTCCAATTTCAGAGCTTTAAAAGTAAGATTTCCTTCATAGGCTATTTCCAAGGTTTAGCTTAAATTAGTTTATTCTTACGAGATAGAGTATTTATTCTAAACAAGCATTCTAAGACAGCTTTTTTTTTTTCATTATACCCTAAGAGTGGGTGTTGAGTTTATATTAAACTGGAGACTTCTTAAACAGAGCCACTGTTATAAGTCAGGGGATACATTTGCAATACTCTGTTTCAGGAACAAAGGTGCACACACAAGGATCTAACTGCATAACCAAGGGCTACAGATGCAAGGCTGTCCATCCCTGCTAACATGAACTCCATCTTTTAATAGGATCGTGCATAAAAATAAGGGCTTTCAGGATCAAGCCCAAAACAGATAATAAAAATCCATGTGAGGAAAGTTGTGACAAGACAAACTATTCAATGCTTTTACCTCCAAAATTACATCTAACAGTAATTATACCCTTAATGGCCAAATTAACAAGAAAATATGTAGTCACATGAAGATTAAACATAATTTGGAGAACATGCTGTTGCAAAATATATTTTGCTGTAATTCCTAAGAAGCAACTCAAACAGTAATTTATGCAGAATTATTTACAGGGGACTCAACATGGAGCATCAGCTTTAAGTAAAACAGTATACTGGCTTGAATTTGATAAAATATTGATGAGTACAAATTTGTGACACCAAGGAACACTGGGTTTTAGTAAACTTAACAAAAAAGTTCTACATAATTATATAATTAGATGAATCTAAAATATAGAAAAAACTGCCTGAACTGGTTAATCTGAATCATTTAATGCATTTCATTTTACTCAAACTTCAGGTCAACAAGTCAGTGGTACACACGTGCTGTGAAACAAGTTACCACTTACATCTGTCAGATACAACAATCACAGATTAACCAAATCTGACTGTACCTAATCTATACTAACAGATGGTTTGTTCTTACTTCAGCACTATCTTTTTAATAAGCACATATGCAAATGTGCTGAAATAAAAGGCAGCAATTATAAATATTTACTAGAATGACCACAGTGGGCACTTGAGCATAAGCCATCCTGTCATTCATTTTTGAAGCTGTATCTTCACTAATTTGTCTTCTGTTTTTAGTAGTCTTCTATCCTATTAACTTGGAGGGTTACAGATCATCTGGAAATCTCACACTGGTATAGGAAAGGAATGTCTGTTCGATGCAGTCTGAAGATAAAGAAAGAATCGTACTTCAGTTCATTGGAGTGATTAACCATAAAGCAACACTACTAAATGATGTTAAATGTAGAAGCAGCAAAGAACAGCCTTCCCCCACCCATGTTAGGATGGCACAAAAAGTGAAAATTTACTATTATTTTGTCAAAGCTACATTTCCTAGCACCAACCTCAGAATATTTTATGATTTTAGAGTTAACATTTGTTGTTTATTAAGAGTAATAGACATTGTGCAGGAAGATAACAGGCTACTTAAGAAAAAGGCCACTGAAGTGTGATAGCAATTAATTTGAACTTCTCGTTTCAATACTTAAGACACTTCAACAAATAGTATTTAGGTGTCCAGCTCTCTAAGGAAACTCCATACCCTTATCACCTCGTACATCCCGGTGGTGAAAAATGCTTATAGCTAAAAGAAGCCATTGAAGTCAGGTAGGACAATTCATTAACATCACTCAATACTGACTAAGGCCTTACTGTTTTGCCCTAAAACAGATTTTAAATAGCAGGAGAATAAAGAATCACAGACCATGTTTTCTACACTCTCATTCTTCTCTACAAGGTACAATTTTCAAATACCGCTTAGTCCTCATGATTTTTAAAATGTTTTTACACTTCATTATACTGAAAGCTAATGGATATACATATGTTTTCATACAGTCTCTATTCTATGAATTTCAGCATTCTGAAAGGGTTACCATATTACTAATAAAGTGAGAGACACGTTACTCTTACAAAAAGGAAATGCTGCCATATAGGTGCCATTTTAGGTTGATTACTAAAATGCAATATACTATTATTTACGTTCAACTTACACATAGCTTTGGCAAAATGACACATTAAAAATAAATATGTCCCAATGACGTTAACAGGTTCATTCCATGATCAAGAACAATTACTTATCATTGCTGTTTTTATATGTATATCACTGTCTTATATAAAAGGAATCATCTTTTCTAGGCAAACACCATTTCAGTGTTTTTCAGACTTCCAACAACGTGTCACTGGTTACCTCATATTGATCCTGCGTGCAATCTTGCAAAAAGTTAAGAAAGTCTGCTTTATTACAAACAACACTGCTTCACAGTTAAGTCAAAAGATGGCATTTAAAACATTTTAAGTAAAATGCAGAACAGTGAAGATGCTACATTACTTATTTCTGGACTTAAATTTAACTCATCGTGCAGTTTAACTTAAGAAGTTAAACACAAATGGAGACCTTGAGTTTAAGATAAATAGAAGTCCAATAGGTCCACCTAATGGATAAAACATTTTTAAAAAAGTGAGTATGTGCCAGACTGATTAGTCAGCTACCTGAAGGATATATAAAGCACATTGTTGCATACACAATAATCATCCTTGTACAAGACTATCTTAAGCCAGTCATGTAAAGAGAGGCAATACTTATCTACTGTTTGCATGTTCAGACCCATGTCAATCAGATTTAATATGCAGGCAGGTTGGTGCTTCCTAGCACACTGACAACAGGTTGACTATTAAAGCCAGTTTTCCTACACAAAGTACAGTATCCTGACAGGATTCTTGCATAGGATAAACAACCAGTTCTGCTTTGTTTTTGTTACTGAACATTAGTTCCAGGGAGGACATGGGGCAGCAACGAGGACACATTGTTTATTTTCAAATTTAATGATTTCAAGAGTCTTAAGACAGTCTCAAGTACATGTAGAACATATGCAACATTCATGACAGATGTTGAAAAATCATGCAACAGCAAGATGTTCTTGATGTGTGACTCAAGTTTGATTTTTTTTTCTTTATTGAAAGTATTGTTTTCTTCTTAGTTTGCCTGGGAGAATCTCATCTCAATACTAAAAATTGCTTACCTTTAGTACAAGAAAAAAAATCTTGTTCTGTGAGCAGCTGCCATGCTTTCAGACATATTTCTAACTTTAAGATAATTGACAAAGCCTCGAAAGAACAGGAGAAGTCCTGGAAGTGTAGAAAATGCACAAAATTAATTATATCAACCTAAAGTACCCTACAAATTCTTAAGATTATTTAAAAAATTCAGATTTTATAAAAACAGTGAGATCTTTACACATCACTCACAAATTTAACAAGCAAGTCTTCCACTTTGATCTTGTGTGATATAAGAATATATCGTTATGGAAGCCTTTTCTAAAATTTTGCACTCATTCTCAGTTTACATACCATCTGCTAAAAAGACATGAAAAAAAAAATAAAGGAAAAAAAGAAAAAAGAGATATGTTCCACATTATCTCCAAGCATGCTTTGGAAATGTTTAAGATTAAAAATGTACTGCTAGTCAAGAGAAAAGAAGAAACAAGTCAGTACAAATTGTTCTAGCAACAAGCCAATGATAAATTATAGGAGATTACGACTTGAGATTTAACCATCCAGGAATATGCACCTGACCAAGAGGAGAAAGAAGAGCAGTCAGTTCAAAGAAAGTTACTCAACTTGTGTTATGATTTATTTGTTAACAGCACAATTTAAATTATTTTTAAATGTTTAAATTTAGCCGCATCTGAAATAATATCTCTGCTCTAATAATAAGAGCAAGAGATAAAGAATTGTCACACAACTTACAGATGTAACACTGGAAATAACTAACATATGATTTTTTTATTTTTTTTTAAACCAACACAGATTCACACACTGGACACTTCAGCAACAAACCCAGAAAAACACGCTGTTGTATAATGAACAGCTCTCTTTGCTCCATTCTCTGCTAAGTAGACTCCAACAGATTATTTTACCTCTGTCAGATTTTCCCTGATCCAACAGATGGATTTGCCCAAAATGTTGGGGTTGAAATCTGAATTATACATAAAACAGAGAATCTGGAGAGCAATTTATCCTAGAACAGGTTGTACTCTCTAAGCAGGTCCCTGTTTTTTTTTCCCCACAGTTGAGCGAGGGACTACTGCCAGTGGTTCAGACAGAAAAAAAAAAAAAAAAAACAATTTTTAAAGGTCCAGGGCAGAGCAGATGAAGAAACTAGGGTGTTTCCCTTAACTATAAATGTCATGCTATTCATTTGAGAGATCATTTTTGATTTTGACATGCATCAAAAAATATGGTATTGTTAAATATTTTCAAAGTTTATGGAAAAAAGAGACCCCTAACATTTTTTCATCATCTAAGACTGAGATGTTGGTACATTAAATCCTTGTACTTTCCTACAGCGCATCTGGTGTTTGCTTGTAAGACAACACTCTGGATAAGATCAATACTCAGTTGAGTTGAATCCACCAGGAAAAGTCTTTGGTTAGCTTAGCTATGCACCTCGGTGTTTAAAAAGCAATCTGACCACAAACAGAAATTTAAGTTTATCATAAATACATCTGCACTAGATAACCCAATTCTACATGTAGAATTATTATACAGGGATTGGGTTCATTTATATGTTTAAATGAACATGTAGGTTCCTTTAAGATATATACACATATTTACTGAGATTCCAGAAGTTCAAATGAAAATCCAAACAAAAGTTAACAAATTTAGCAAAGGATTACATCCTGTTCTCTTACATCTTAATAAACAATCTCTATGGTTACTCTGGTATTTTGCTATGTGATGCACTTTTTCTTCCTGCTGTCCCTGCTGAGACCCTGACTGTTTCCTATGCTCATTTATTTTGTAAAATAGAAATTGGCAAGTAAAAAGCATTTACTTTTTTTGCTTCTTTAAACCCAAGTCTCCATAGGACACACACCAAAGAATAAAAAAAAAAAAAATCCAGATAATGCTCTGCTAACTTTGACCTACAACAGATACATTTATGTGATTAAGCTGAATTCTGCATGGAGAATAATGTAGTAGGATCTGGATCAAAAGTCTTCTACCAAAGCTGCTACACTGACATTATCAGAGATAGCCCTACAATCAACCGAAAAGCAGCTGAAACAGCAAAAGGTGGACAGGAAGATTTTCAGGTGCCTGAAAGCATATTTTCTGCATTACACGTGCTGGGAAAACAGTCCAAGTTCAACCCATACTTTTATGTTTCACTGTTTAATGGAGGAGGGAAAAAAATACACCACAGAAAAAAAAACACTTTCCATTGTGTTCCTCAAAAAGAAACATTGGCTAACATTTAAATTTTAAAATGAGAATTGTCTCTCTCTCCAATTTGTTCACTGTGCATGACAGGTCTTTGGAAGTAGACCATTTCACATTTCCATGAAGTGTGAGCAAATTTTTCCAGACTTTAAATGAAGTGAAGGGAACATAAACAGATAGGTGAACACCAGAAGAGAGAAAAAGATAGCAGTACATGAGCTCAAGTATGTCAAAGGATCATCCAAAAGAAAGACTCCAGTTTATTCACTATGAAAGAGACATAGGATATACTACTTCGCATGTTCTGATTGGGAAGTTATCTGAAACAATGAAACACAGACTTGGTTGGCAGAACTCCCATGACTTGATAATAGTCCTTCATTTCCTGCTAAGTAGGTCTATGGGGGTAAATCCTCCTGTAGTATTCTAAAATGCTGTTGGTCTATGTCATACAAAATGTTTGTAAGACAAGGGAATGCTAACTGCTGCTATGCTAACTAACAGCGCCTTTTATTGCAAGCTTTGTGAGGTTAAGAAAAAAAGTCTTCTAACAGTTCAGGCTGAAAATAAGGCTTTCCTAAATCTAAGTGATCTGGCTTCTGAATGTGAAAAGTGCTGTGAAAGACTAGTAAAAAGAACTACAAATGCACAACTTTTTCTATATGCCTCAAGTAGCCAACAGTAGAGCAAGCTATTAAGAAATCTGATGAATACTCTTAAACTGTATTGAAAGAAGGATATGGAAAACTTTTTTATTATTATTATTATTAAGGATTTTTGGCATTTATTGTGAAACAAATAAATCAGAAACAGTCAGAATCCCTCTCTCAAAAAAAATTACTCAACATTTTACTCCAACATTTGTTGTAAGCCCTCAGCTGAACTGACTCAAAGGGAAGACTGCCATCTACTGAATCAGCAGCAGCTTACAGTTTCCAGAGCAAGAAAATAAAATGGATAGCAGCATTCACTCCTGTAAAAGCGTATCACTCCAGACTTCACATTCAAATCACAAAATCCATAGTAAGAAAAAAAATTATAATGGTTGGTGTTTGAAATATCAAAATTAAAAACAGACAGAAAGACAGAATTTGATGTGTATAAAGCTTTGAACACAGGCATGCAGACCTCTTCAGAAAAAGCTGACGTCATGGAAGCACTGTGATCAGAAAGCATGAAGCCATTCTCTTGTCTGACTGAGTAACTACTGATGCAGCATGCATTTCAAAGGAGTAGAAAAGGACATTTCATGACCTGTGTACAAGACAACTGACTCCACCTTCCCAGGATCAGTCACATTTCATAAAATTTAAAACTTGACATACAAGCATATATATGTAAGTACCTGGTATCACTTACTTTCACTGCGTTCTCTGCATAAAGCCTAGAGGTTTTGTTACACAATTCTGCACCCTTAGATGAGCATGAGCAGATTAAAAAGCACAAGCTACAAGTCTCAGGTATGTACGTAATTACAAATGTAGAATAACATTTTGAGTTGGATGTTATTTGAATAGTCTGCAGTCCACACAGTAACACTACGGTAACAACCTGGTGAACACTAAAGAAATAAGAACAGTATACAAAACTATCAAAAGCAAAAGAAAAATATATAGCTAAACACCTTACAGAACTCTAGCTACACGGACATGATATACCTTTCAGTACTTCATCAAAACAGAAATGTTTGCCATTGCCACTTACCAAGTACAAGGAATATCCACCAAAGCCAGTACTGTCCATTGAAATATCCAGTAAAGTAATCTGAAAACTGGAATTCATACAGAAGAGTATGAATTTTTTTTATTCTGTAGCAAGAAAGATGACTAAGACACATTTAATGCTGTATGCAAATACAGGAAGCTGAGGAAAAACTAAATTAAAAAATACATATATACTGTATTTTCCTAAAATAGAAAACTGGTATTTGTGCCATAGTTTACCATACAAATAACACTTCCAGTACCAGGTGGTCTTTGGCAAAGTTATTTCAAAAGCTCTAAGATATATACACACGTATATATACATGTATATACATGTATGTTGCATATATTACTTGCCAGAATCATCTGACTTTTTCTATTATAATGAATCACCACTGTCAATTTCCTACCCCCCACCCAATGCCTGCTGTCCTGAACACATTACGGCAGCCTGCTGCTTTAGATATTAACACCAAAAGCCACATTAGTTTAATCTTATCAGACAGGGATGTTCTGCTGACCCCTCAAAAGAAGAGCTTTTGACCTTCTGTATACCCCCTACTGTTAATCGCTGCCAAGAATACCAGCCCCATAAAGACCCCCAACTCATTAAAGTCTTTTCATTTTCAAACCAGCATTCAGTTCCCAGCAGTGAGCTGAACGCAACTAAATGAACCTTGAAGAGGCATTTCAACTGTTCCTGTTAGTGACCATGGTAGACAGTTTTGTCCTCTCTGATGTGGGAGGCAGCTGGAAGGCAGGGTGTGATGGTATTGGAGACAGGTATCTTTGCCTTTACCAGACTCCAGACTGCATGCTTCACTGATAAAAAAGGCTAATCAAATGTCTCCAAAACTCACACAAGAAGTAGGAATGCGGAGATGTGTGAAAAGTTGCCAGAAGGAATAAAATAACCTATTTAGTAGCTCTGTACACTTTTCATACACTTCCCATCCTACTATCATTCAGTATGTTTACTGCATCCTGCCACAGCACATCCTATTTGTCATATCCAATGAACTTCTGTAGTTACCAACCAAGAAATCATGTGATTCAGGCATTATTTTCTCTAAAATAACCAGAGCCAATACTGGACAACATATTCAACCAAATAAAAATCAGAGCTGTTAAAAGAACTGTTAGGTTTTTGTTCCCCTCAAGTAACAATGCATTGAGATTCACGTTTTCTTCACAATAAAGCCAGATCATCAGGCTCAATAAAAAAAAAAAAAAGGTAAGGTAAAGAAACAGCATTGCCAAGTTGAATGAAAAGAACAATTTACACTATCACTATATAAATACTAGCATATCTATTATTCAGCAAACTAAGGATTTTGTATTTTGACAGTTCGTTAAAAGACCAAATGAATATTCAACTGCAAGAAAGTTTACTGCATTATTAATCCCACTTCACCTGGTAGCCAATATTGTAAATTTTCTTAAGCATGTATTTTTTCTTTTTCCTTTTTTTTTTCTTTTTTTTTTAAACTTACAGTTTCATTTAATTGGAAAGAAGATGTATTAAAACCACTGACCAATCAATTACTCGCCTAACATGCATTACTCTAACATTTTTAAGCAAAAGAAATCATTGCTGCAAAATTCACTGAACAACAAAACTATGTTTTTGTTTTCTAGAAAACAAAACAAAACACTTTTTTCTGGCTATATAAAAGTGACACAGAGAAAGCATATGCAAACTAGAACTGTTTAGACAGTATATAGTGTCTACTATAGTACCACTGAGCCTGAGTGAGAAAGTTCAGTGCAAGCTTTTTGAAAAGTTTGAAGCAAAGGAAATACAATTTTATGTATAAATGCACACTTGCATGTCACCATTAAAACAGAATTGTTGGCATATATCCTATACACTTCTGTTATTTTCTCCAGAAGAGGATACAGCACAGGAGGTTTATTATCTTGACTATAAAGAAAGCAGCCCCAAGGTCTTGGAACTGGTCAGCTCTAATATTTTGAGATTAGTAACAGACTATACACAAGATTTTAAATGCAGGCTATGACTCAGTAATTCTTTAAAGAAGTTTAGCATGTATTCATTTTAGTGGTTGTTATGAGCACATTCTCAAGTAGACAGGAATAATAAAACTGACACAATGAGCAAGTTCTGGCCTCTGTTTAGTATGCCTCGAGGAAAGTTCAAAATAGCCCCAATGGATACACAGTTGAAAAATTCATGTCTTCATGCCCATTGAGATAAACTCCATTCCAAACTCCAAATTCCAACTAATTACACCAGAACTGCATCTGATCTGGTAGGATTCCTCTGCCCTGGGGAAGCAAAAAATTACCTCTCAGCTGTAAAAAGGATGCAGGATGTGTGCCATAAGGACCAGGTAATCTCTCCTCTCTACAATCCTTGCGCTAATTGTACTAAGAGCCAATCAAGTTAGATTACTAGCACATACAGAAAAAAAAATAATTCAGAGTTAGCATGGTATAAAAGATGACTAATGACCAAAGATCCTTAGACAGGATGAGATTTTAACGTTGTGTCTCAGATGCGTAGAACTCAAGTTCAGAAAGAATTACCAACTTCCACCTAGCATCCACTTAGTCAGCTAGGGAACTTCTAACATACCTTTCCGAAAAGCATCTAGTCTCACACTAAAAGCATCAAGAAACTGAGTATCTGAGCTAGTAAAAATGCAGCCACATATTTGATTTTGACTCAATTTAGTATGTATGTGCTTTTCTTTTGTCCTGTAAGATACAAGTGAGAAATGCTTTTGTTTGCTTGTTTTTTTTTTTCCCCTGACAGACTGCACCATTTATGTTTCTCTTTTAGAATACTTTCTGAGTAATACGATTGACACTTTTGGTACTTGCTCCACTTCTGCATGATTTTTAAATAATAAGAATGAGTCACTCCATTTATCTTAACTGGAAGATCAACACAAAATGATAAATCAGATAAAGACGGATTCAGTTTCATTCTTCTTAAGCACTTATGAAAATATAGTAAGTAAATTCCCTACTAAAGCGAAGGTTAGAGAAAGTTCTACTCACTCTGTTAAGTGCAGAACTTAATATAGTTATTTTTAATTCTTTTACTATAGATGCTTGGATAAATTGTTATGGCTTGGTTCTACAAGCAGAATCAAAAAACATACCCGTACAATGAGAATCCATTTGATCAGGGAGAGACCGAATCCACAGATTGCACCATACCTTCCAGCTATGGTATTTGTTATACAGAAGGATAAACAAAATCCAATCCAGTTGAAAATAAATGCCACTATAAAATAAAAGAAACAGTAGCTTCTGTTAATCTGCATAGCTAAGCAAACAGACTTAACATTAATTTCACTTATAAACTAATAAGGACATGCTTACACAGTCAGTAGGAGTTCCATTCTGGTAATTCAAGACTTCAGAGATTTACTTTGAACCTAGGTATTCCCAATGGTATAGTCACTTAATAATAAAGCAAATGGTAAACAGGCTGTAACCTACTACTTTAAACAAGACAACATTACAACATTGAGGAAATTATTACTTTGCTACAGAAGTCTGACCAAATGACGCTAGATAAGTAAGGTAAATGCAAACAGAGGGCTATAGCATACAAATCTGAATTAAAACAAAAAATAAACCTTGCTACACTTTTATAACCAAAACCAGAGTTATGTGCACACATAAATGCATGTGTCAAGGCTGCATATTCAGCTTTATCCAGTTTGGATAAAACAGAATAAAGTATCTGATCTTGCTCTTTAAACACAGTATAGAGATGAAGATAAACTGAGAAGCTGCTGTTTTACTGGTTACTGTCTTCTCTTTTGGGTGTATGTCCAAGCCCACAAACGCAAAATTCAAACAGTCTGTAAAACTGAAGTGGAACTGTAAAGAAACTGATGTTCCAAAAGAAATTTTGGAAGACTCTGCATCATCGCCACAGTCATTTTGTACAAGTGAGAAGACATCTTGCCTAGGGTAGCGATGAGAAAGCTTACTTTTACGATAATTACAAATCTTCAAAACAAAGAAAAACTTTGAACAAATGCTAATAAAAAAAAGAGTAAGCATTTTATCACACAACAGCTACAGCACAGCATGTTGGCAATCTTAATGTTTGCCTAGCTTCCCAAAATAGAAAAGCTTTTACGTTTGAGAAAGTTTGGATACACTGTCCTGAATGCAGGATTTTCCTTTTTAAAGCAAGCTCTCTGAATTTGACATACTTTTAAGAGTAACAGATTTGGGAAGCTAGTTCTTCAGCATCTGACTGTTCCTGCCTCAGCATAACAAGTTACTGCTCTCTCCCATCCTCCCTATTAGTCAAGCTACAAAGGGTGACGGATCATGGCTCCACTGATAGGCATGCCAAAGAGGACAAAAGACAGGCAAGTTTCTAATGGGCTATGGGAATCCCCATCATACTTACAATTTTACTGTGTACATAAAAAGATAAGGATTTAAAGTACCTAATAGCTATTTTTGCACATAATAAAAAAAAAATCCCAATCAAAGTATATGAAGGGGAAAAAAGTTCTTATAACGAAATCTGAACACATCAACAATTTTATCGTCCTTTCAAATTAACCTAGAAAAACATTCAAAATAGAATCACTGGATGAGTATTAGACATCCAGTCACTGGATGAGTATTAGAAAGGTATTTAACCTTATGTTATTTGCCCAACTCTTGAAAGACAAGGAATCATCTTCCAGTACAGTTCACAACAGCTTCCCTCCCCCTCCCCACCCTTTAGTCAGCGTGCTGTTCCATCAAGTTACAAACTCACAATGAAAACAGGAAAGAAAAAAAACTATATAAAAGTTGTAAACTACCCAAGTTCACATATTGCAAAAAAAAAAAAAAAAAGAACTATAAATATTGAGATTTGTTTTCTGTATAAGTTTCTGTCCATTTCTAGAAAAATTCTGCAGTGAGGACCTAATCAAAAATCCATGTCTTCAGCAATATGAGAAAATCATTACTTCTACCTCTGTAAAATTTAAGCAACACCCTAGGGAGCTTCCCCCAACATTTCCTTGGCATTGCATCACCTTAACAAATGCTGAAGTCAACGTGTTTTCAATATTTCCTATTGCTTTTTTTCCCTCCCTTGTGTCCTATCTCTACTTCTAAAATCATCTTTATTGTCTCATTCTGTTTAAAAAAATAATAATTCTTTCCTTGCAGAAATGCATCTGCAGTTTCTGAGCAGACTGCAACAAATTATTATTTTTTAAAAATCTATATTCAAACTGCTCTCTGCATCAAGATTAGGCTCATTTATCTATCTTCTTCCATCATAGTTTCCATGTATATCCTCTGTCAGTGATGCAAATTCTCTGAGTTTTGTGGCCTACACCGCATCTGGAAAGAGTTACTAAAGTAAATTTATGTAAAATTTCTGTCTCACATAATTACTGCAATAAAAGTTGTCTATATCTTTCATCTCCGTATTGCCGTTGTTAAACCATAGCATGAGTTCCGCACCACACCAAGAGAGAAAATAAAATGAGGAGAAACTAATGGAACAAAGTACCTACTGCCTTCTCTGTCTGCAAGATGGAGACTAATAAATCGTGCAAGCTTCTTGTTGCAACAGATGCTACCATCTGCATTCTGTAACAAAAAGTGTTCCTGAGGTTGAAAATTAGGAGAAATTTCTTCTCAGAAAGAGTGGTCAGGCACTGGAACATGTTGTCTAGGGAGGTGGTGGAGTCACCATCCCTGGGAGTATTTAAGGAAAGGTTGGACTTGATGCTTAGGGACATGGTTAGTGGATGACATTGGTGGAAAGGTGATGGTTGGACCGGGTGATCTTGGAGGTCCTTTCCAACCTTAATGATTTTATGATGCCTGTCCTTGAGATGATTAACATTCAGACTCCTATGTGAGCTCAACTTCCTACTACTGGCCTCTTCCCTTCAATAAATTTAAGACAGAAGCAGCTTTACAAGAGGAAGAGGGATAAGCTAAAGATATTTTTTTTCTCCAGTAAAGTCTTCTTGATATCATGTAGTGCTCACAACATCTTATTTCTTTCTGATTTGTAGTGCAAAAAAACAGTTGAAATACAAAATGCAGGATGTTCTAAATGTTACAGAAGTTTCAGAATTTGACATTTCAAACAAGGTCATCCATAAACTATTTGAAAAACTAAAGCCCTCTTCTGAGGGGCAGGGATCAGCATATTATTTTTGATATCAAAAATAATAAAAAACAAATGTTTTATTCATCTGCACTTCCAAGAAAAATGGAGTAACACAATCCAACCTGGTTTTGCAAACAACCTTGCATCATTGGAATTTTTTATACTGTAATAGACATAGGGCAAAGCAAAGATTATGTATGATGCAGTATACTTTGCCTTTACTATTTTATTAATCCATCAAGAGTACCACCTCTTTCAAAAAAAGTTTTTTTGTGTGTGTAAAAAGTTGATATAATTTTTATAAGCTCCTTTTAAGTACTGAAAGGCCATGATAACGTCTCCTAGAGCCTTCTCTTCTCCAGTCTGAACATTCCCAGCTCCCTAAGCCTTTCTTCACAAGAGAGGTGGCTCCAGCCCTCTCATCACCTTCATAGTCCTCTTCTGGACCCGCTCGAACAGACCTACATCCTTCTGGTGCCAGGGGCCCCAGACGTGGACACAGTACTCCAAGTAGGGCCTCACAAGGGCAGAGTAGAGGGGGACAATCATCTCCCTTGACCTGCTTGCTGGCCATGGCCCCATTGATGCAGCCCAGGACACAGTTGGCTTTCTGGGCTGCAAGCACACACTGCTGGCTCATGTCAAGCTCTTCCTCCACTGGAACCACCAAGTCCTTCTCTGCAAGGCTGCTCTCAATGAGTTCTTCTCCTAGCCTGTACTCATGTCTGGCATTGCCCCAGTCCAGGTGCAACACCTTGCACTTGGCCTTGTTGAACCTCATTAGGTCCACATGGGAACACTTCTCAAGGTTGTCCTTTGGATGGATCCCTTCCTTCTGTTGTATCGACTGCACCACTCAGTTTCTTTTCATGATACCAAACATAGAACTGGTCTGAAAACACATGCTGGTTCCAAATTTTAAATACAGGTCAAGTCTATGACATGATTAAAATGGCAACTATATACACATAATGAAACCATGCTCAGTTATGTCCTTTATTCCCTGCTTTGTCTGTCCAAATACTTGTGTTTTTTTTTCTTAAATATACAGCAAACACCAAAAGATCTTAAAGTTTCATACCTTCCCTAGGTTTACACGCACCACCAGAAAATGCTCTTCCCACTCCTGCATAGAATTTATTCCATTCCTGAATTGGTATACATTTTTCCTCCTTCCATAAAGAAAGAAGTGATTGTGTGCGAAGGTCAGCCAGGCTCCCCTGATGATCAAAGGAATTGTGCTTGTTTGCATCTATCTCCTTCCAACATTTGCTATTTCAGTCAAACGACTTCCCCTTAGTTTCTCTTGCATGACTAAGGGAAACCCGCATAGCATTAATACACGCACAAAGAAGTCAGGTTTCCTAAATTCACACCAAGGAATCCTCCCACTGGCAATTTAGACCATGCTTACCATTTCTCAGGAAGCATACAACAAGAGGCTGTGCTCATCTGGGTCTTGGGCTACAATTCTGCCTCCCAATTTATGCCTGCTTGCAATGCCCCAGGTAGATATCCTAGCTTGTATGCAATTTATTGTTCATTTGATCAATCTACTAGGTTTTAAAACAGCGTGGACATTAGTTTCTGAACTACTGTTATGGGTGTTTTCTGTTCCAATATAACATCTTGAACTAAATTTACATTTACATTTCTCTGTATTGTGAGAATTGTGAGAATTTTTTTTTGCTGTTGAGTTGTAGATGTGTTTAAATTGGCTGGCCACGTTATTCAAAAGTGAATCACATCTCCAGATGAAAACTTAAACTTCAGCTGTCTCAAACATTTTTCTCCTTTTCTACCTCCTTATCAACCCATTTGTGAGATTCGAATTAATATTTAGTTTTTCCAGAGCAAGGATTGCCCAAAGCCCTCTTCCATGGTTTCAAAAAATCCAAATGAATTCCACAATTATTTTGGGGTGAAAATGCTAGTAATATTCTAAAGCACTCCTTAAATACAAGGGAAAAAAACTTTTATTACTGTCACTTAGCCAGGATAAGCCAATCGGACATGATTCAAACTTCCACTATGTGCACAGTAAGTAAAAAAAATTTAAAAAAACGTTTTTGGGCATGACAGTTACTTGCTCTGTCACCATTACAGCCATGTTCAAAATGATAAGAAACAGCTCACAAGTTCCTCCTTTTTGTTATGCATACAAAAAGTTACTCTGAGTAACGCACCTACTAACTTCTTTCACTGGCATTCTGAAAAGTTTATACTATGCTGTATAAGGCACATCTGACTAAAATACATAAATGAAAAATATATTAAGTGGTCTGGTGGCATAATTTGCTGCATTGACTTCATAGATTAGTTTAGCTTCACATTAGAAACTGACAGACACTAGCCCTGACCATTGGAGAGCAGATTATTCACTTAACACAATCACAGATTTCAAAAGTGACAGCAATTTCTTAAAACAGTTTCACCACTTAAGCTATAAAATAGGTCGGTTTCCAAATTTTTCTACAAAGTTTCTGAACGAAGTGTTCAAGCAAAAAGCACACAAAACCCAAAAACATTTTACAAACACAGAAAAGATGCTCAAAATACCTGCTCATGTAAAGGGATTTTATTCTTTAAACTATATTGTCTCCTTTTATTTAGTTATGCTGAACACAACGGTATTTTTTTCAACTTAGATGAGAAACAGATTTGTAATTTGCATGCACCAAGATCCAAAATGACAAAACAGAAGAGACATCTGGCCACTAGATGGCCTCAAGACAAATATTTTTGCAATTTAGGCAGCTACCACTAGATGGTAGCTACTCATCACTAGTTGATTGTAGCAAGTAGGCAAGAACGGTAAAAAAAAAATGTATTTGATTAAACTTTGGCTGAATAAAATGAGGTAATAAAAAGTAAATTCTGTTTTTATATTTAAAATAAAGGTAATAAACCCCCAGGATCTTACTACAAGTGTTGTACCTAACAGTCACAGAAAGGATGCAGGAGAGCTCATCCAGAATGAATCATTCTTTCCACGATTCTCTTACTACACCACAGCTCCTGATATTGTTGTCCTGAATTTTAACTACATGATGAAATTTACTCTAGATTCTCAGTGTTCTGCCACCTTTACTTCCAGCATTTAAACATATTCCACCCGGAAAAAAAAAAAAAAAAAAAAAAAAAACAGATAGCTGTTCTGAAAATTTCACTTCAACTCCTGCTCCCTTAAGTCTACATAAATCTAACCTTATTAAGTTAAGCTCATTTTTATTTAATTCTCTAATCTCACCATATAATGTTCATTTTCCAAGTTTTTTTCACGTCTATACATGCAACGAGTTTTCATTAACTCCTCATGCTGTGAACACAAACACCAAGTAAACTATATAAATTCCCATACATAACTGGTATCAAGTAACAGTTAACACAGAGACCAATTAAGCATATGTTTTTATATATACCTTGCAACCTGTTTTATTTTGAAAGCACTCATTTTATGCATTTCATTCAAAGCTGATCAGAGTTGACAGTTATATAGTCTCAAAATGATCAAGAAAAAAAAATATGATCTACAGGGTATTTTTGACAAATATGCAGAAGTAGTGCTCCGTGCACTGTCTCAGACAAATGACTGATTTGAAGAGGAAGAAGCCAGTTCATCCGAGTTAGCCTCTCCATTCTTGAAGATGTGTACAAGGTTCTGGGTGTGCAGTTTTGGCCAACTGCATTTGAGTATCATTGGAGTCTTTGCTTCTGCATAGCATGAATGTTACTTCTACCATATTCCTAACTGCAAGCTAACAAGTCTGTTTTAAGCTCTGATAAAAAGGACTTAAAAACATTTTAGACCCAAAAATTCACCCACTTGACCTCCCAGTGCAGTGCTAATGAATGCCTGGACCAGGACTTGCAAGAGCAAGTTCACACAATAAAGAACTTCCACAGTAAATACTAGGTTAAACACAAGACATTGCAGCACATAGGGCAGGGGAAGAAAAGAAAAAATGAATAAAACCCTTCACCCCAAGAATACATACCCCTTTTTTGGTCCAACCACAGACAGAGGTCAGACTACAAAAGTCACTTTGTCACCATACATATATATTTGTATATTTGCTATGAGAGATATAAAAATTATAAAAAATTATCCAAAGATGCAACCCCCCAGTTATCCTAGTGATTTATATATCAACACTAAAGAGCTTTCATAACCTGTACCTCTAGCTTTTAAATCAAGAGACTACAAAAGACATAAAAGGTACATGAACTAAAATGAAATGTAGGTTGAAAGACAAAGGGGATTTCAGTAGATAACCAATCAGGTTTCATCCTGATGAATGCTAAAACGAACAGCGGCATCCCCCACACCAAACTTTCGTAAAGGCTGCCAGAGAAGCATTTCAGAACAGGGAAATATCTTTAGAAATGATAAAGTATCCAAGTGGGAAAACAAACAGCTTTTTTCTACAAGTAATTTCCAGTGGCTAAATCCAAGTTTGCTCAACACAATAGGTAAGTTATAAGACAAGGCATGCACAACATACACAGGGCCTGAATAATTGTAGAAGTAGCACCAGCTGCAATCACATATTACCTAAGACAGTACATATTTATATGTTAGTGGTTAGTTTAACCTCAAAATAAGTGTGGCTGGATTTGTTCCATAATTAACTTAATTCACTACACTGACACAAGTAGCTTTTATATGGCACATCATTTCTCTCTAAAATTTCTAAGACCTGATGGCCAGATTTCTGTGATCCAGCCTTTAAAGGTTGTAGTCAGACTAGAAGATGACAAGATTACTCAATTCACAGTTAACAGTGCAGTCTTACTACATCTCAGAACATTGTGATTTTTCGTCCCCTTATCTATGAAAGGTGCCACAGAAAAATAAGTGCAACACACTTGCTACATCTGGAACAGTAAGTGCTTACATCTCTGTACAGGTAAAAGTAATAGTAATTCATTACAGTACATTAATTCAGTTTATCACAGTTATCTTTCATATTCCATAGAAATAAGGTAAAATTAAGATATACCTCAATAGGTCTGCAATACCAGATAACTTACTGAAAAATGCCAACATGAAGATGCCATCATTGCCCACTCTAAGCTGATCTGCATCACTGAAATCATCTCGTGGTGGATACTCTTCTTCCTGGATTTACAGGTTAGTGATAATTTAATTAAAAGTTTATTCTAGAATAACTATCTTTAGGACTAAATTATTTTGTTTCTAAATCTAGAAAAGAATTGACATTTCTGTAATATGTCTATATCAAGGAACTCCAGAATAAAAATAATTCTTATCAATAAAAGAGGCTTATTGGTGCTTATGTTGACAGAGACCAGAAGTAAATCAAAATTGCTGTAGAAGATACATACATATCGTATATTCATCTTAAATGAGAATAGAAATTATTTCAGATGAGTACTTTAAAAATCAAAACCAACAGAATTCCCCTTTCTTATTGAAACTATCTTGGTATGCAGCCAAGATGTTAAAAACTTAGAGCATACTATGTAATGATTTTATCCATTTTTTTTTTCCCTGACAGAAAGGCCTTTTAATACTTTACAAACTATGAAGATTTAGAATAAGGTGTATCTTAATATTGCTGATGCAAAAGCACAGCACTAATCAATTTATAGATTATCCAACAACCTGCTGCAAAACAGACATAAAGCAAAGAAAATCTCTAGGGACACTAGAGGGCATGAGTACGTTAAGATTGTTTTAAAGACTTCTAAACTCAGAAAAGACAATTCTTAACTTACACAAAAGTAAACAGAGATATCAGTCAAAACAATGCATAAATTTCTCTGGTCATGTCAAAATACTAGATCTTAAAATACGGAAATTATGAGTTTGTTTTGTTTTTCAGTGCTTGATTGTCAACAGGACTTGGTAAATCTTATGTACTGTTCTGTAGGCTGGGAAAGTTTTCTGTATGACAGCTCTCACTAAAGAGAGCATGATGAAAACTATAAAAAACAGTTAAACAATATGTTAAGTAAACAACAGCAAAACAACACAGGATGATACAAGTCAAATAATGCTGCCAGTAACAGTAGCAATCTGGTCTATACAGAAGCAGGAGTAATATTCTTTGACTTTTCCTGTACTTTTTCTCCAACTGATGATCTTAGTGACTTAGAACTGAGGTAAGGCGTATTCTATTAAAATAGTAATAAAAAAAAAATCTTTAATCTTCCTTGATAATTTATTTTGCTGATTGACCCAGATCAAACAATTACTAATGAAATAATGTAATTCTGATTTTAACACGTTATTCACTGACTGCACCAAATGTTACTTTATGCATGTTTTATCCATATATATAAATATATGGATATATTCATAACTAAAAGGGCATTAAACAGTCACAATGATCTAGAGCTCTGTCATGGGATTGACATATTCACCTTTGTGAACAGTGCAGATTAATCTACCAGGGTATAGTGATTACAGTTAGAAGTATGCTAGAACAAACTGTACCAACTCCAGGCAGCCAGCACTACCCTTCATAACATGGCCGTGAAATTCCAGCTGCTCTCTTTCCTTTCAGATTAATTAACCAGGCCTCTGTATCACAAGGTATTTTAAAACCATTGCTTTTCCAATGAAATCACAAAAAGCCAGTCAAACGCAATCTTAAGAAGCCATAATTCAACTATATACACTTTCAAATGTCCCTAAATGGTCATCTTAAATGATTATGAAAATATTAGTTTGTTTAGCACAATTTTGCTACAGCTGCAAGACTGATGGGGAAAAGTAAAGGAAGGACTGAAAATACATTAAATAAAAGACTACATTTGAACATGTTTATATCAGAAACATATGGCTCAAATTTCGGACTATTTTCAATTTTAATTTCAAAAGTTCTGTAAAATAACTTTTTTTTTTTTTAAATAATTGGCTGGCTACTGTTCTTCATACTGGCATTTCCATATCAATTATCAAATTTGCTCTATGCAAATTGTTCCCTCTGAAAAACAAGATTTGGCTTAGCTACAGTAACAATTTTAACAGGTTTCTCTATATGCATGTTGCTAAGGCTTACATGTGTAAGAAATGTGAATCAATAAATAATCCAGGGACATGAGAACAGGCATTTGCAGTAAGCATGAACAACTTATTGCACTCTATTGCAAAAGACAATGATAGTAAACTAAGCTCTATTTACCATCTCCAAAAATTGGAATATTGAAATTATCAGAATCTTTAACAAAATGAAATAGCTTCCTAACTTTAAACCAGATTCAGCCCTTGCTTACATCACTTAGTATCTGGTTTTACAGTCAGTCCCACCGCTCAGGTCCCACTAATACAGGCTGTCCTTTGCAAGACAGTGCTCTCATTTAATCTAGTTAATGTCAACAGTCTTAACTTTCCTTCAAAGTATAATTGTTTGCCACCTTTTTGGTCCCATTTTTGAGGAACGAAAAGGGACAATGCAGAATGACTCTGTCCTCTCAGCTGATGCTCAGAAAATGAACAATTAATGACATTTACTGAATGAGAATGATTATATTTATATTTTCTTCTTTGTGACAATGTCATTGATATCTAATTATATAGAGACAACTAGTTATCTACACATAGTTTATACATATACACATGCAAACTATTGATTTTTGACAAAATTAGCCATTGTAAGGATCACAGGGAATTCATTTGATTGTTAAATATGCTGAAATTTGTATAAACAGAAAAAATTGTATTCCTATGACCAGGAAAACAGTTAAATAGCAAAATATATTATCAACATGAATATCAAACAAAGGAACTTCTTTAAGCTAAAAAAACATGAAATAGTACACAGCATCTATTGAAGGCAAACCTATTAACTCCTCTGGAAACAGTGTTCTCTGTAGCTATCTTACAAGAAGAGGGCTGTGGTTTTTTTCCCCCCAAGGTTTTGTAGCTTCTTTTAAACTGAAGCCTAGCATAGCATACTGTGAGACAAACACCTTTACTCAAGGAAAGAAACAGTGTTTTCAGTAACCCTTTGGATAGCTGAACTGGTAACTCTTCACAATGCAGAGGATTTACAGAGAAAAATTTCATGATGATACCTTCACGCATACAAAACAACATGGAGAAGTTAAGGAGGAGGAGGTGTGGGGGGCATAATGAAACCCAGAAGCATTTGTTTGCCAATAGGAAAAATCATAGTTAAAGTCTAAACTAGAGAGAACTATACCATACCTCGGGACGACTGAGGAATATTTCATCAAACAGACTCCTAGACTCCCTAAACTGGGCGTGCTAAGCATGTAAAAACAGAAAAACGTAAGACAAATGCAACTGAAGAGCATTAAGTAAAAGCCATTCATTGCAACATACAAACAAGCCATTTACCTGTTAGCAATATGTTTGCCCATTTAAATTGACCTTTTTAAAATGACCTTTACAATTTGAAAAGGAAAAGATGAAAAGCCAGCATAACTAATGCTATCACAACTGATGACAAAAGATTGCTACAATTTCTTTGGTACATTGAGCTAACTGGGAGAATTTGAAAGAAACAGAAACATAGATTTTGTGTAAATATTTAAGATTAAATACACAAAATCAAGTACAAAAAGTATCCATAAATTTTAAGTTTGGATTGTTCATACAATCTATGGATGTGGGGACTATGAAGTCTATAATGTGATCACGGTAATTTTTTTTTTTTCATATCGTCCCCATCTCATTCAGGAAAAAAGTATGAAAGTAGTTCATTAAATGTGCTATCTTCTTATACCATTTTCCTTTCTTGTGCTCAATTAATAGGTTTGAAGCCTTCTTTACTGCACACTTTCGACTGTACCATGAAATAGTTACCAGCTTCATGTGTCACTCTAGATAAGGGCTCTGACTCTGTTCACATTATAGTAGTGAAGAAACACTATATCCTCATTTTACAAGCAAGAAGCTAGAGGCACATCATAACATAACTTAAATCCTTAAAGCACTAACTTCATAAACCTGAAAATTAAAAATGGAAAAAATACATTATGTAGTTTGTGTACATTTTGCAAAGTGTGTAATACAGAATTCAGACACTGCGTGCAGATGTCACTGCTTGTGGTCTCAAAGATAATGAAAATGAGAAAATAATTGCAAGCTAGTAAAGTCCGCGTGACCTTCCACAGGTATGCAGAGCTAAGGATCAAAATCCTTCCCCTCCAGATGGGGAACCACCACCCTAACCATAATGTGACTTTTTCCACAGTCTTAATACCAAGTCTTTAATATAGCTTGTATGTTTATGCATGAGTGTGTTCTGAAAGGGAAAAGAGAGGGAAAAAAAGGACAGGAAAAAGAGAGGAGAAAACACAGAAGCAAAACAAGCAGAAACTATCAAATTTGAGATCCTTAGCAGTCTGAGGCCCTTAGGTACACTGAGGCAGCTTCTGATACAGTACTGCCTTAGTCTACAACTTTCCAGTTAATTTTTGCTTTGGTGCAATGATGATGTGTTCCTACTCATTCTTCATAAGTAGGTGAAATTCTTATAAATTTCATGTAAGTGTAAGCACTTGCTGAGTTCCTCTGTGCGTGTTGGAGAAGCATGCATACCAACAAGGCTTCATGCAAAAGTTCATTTATCCCTTTGTCACCATAACCTACTCTCCTATTTCTAATATCTAGATTCCTCCTCACCTCCATTTTACTTACTGTTCTTCTGCCTTGGCAATTCTTTCTTTACTGATTGACTGCTCAATCATTTTACTCACTTTTTTTTTTTTTAATACGTTCACATTTTCCAAATACCGTCATTTCCTTTCTTCATCTCCACAAGTACCTCCTCACGAAGCAACATAATCTTATCAGTGTTCCTTCTCCATTCCTATTCCCTTTTTCTCACTCACCCACTTCAGCTGCTCTTCCAGTACTACATTTTGTCTTCACTTGGTTTCCTTTCTCCACCAATCACAGTTTATTCTTTTCCCTCTTGCTTCTCATTAAGATCGCTCTGTGCTCCTTACATACCGATGCTCTCCATTCAGCTTTGCCTGTTTCCATTTTGACTTAGACCCATCACCCTCACCCTGCCTGTGCTCACTAAGTAACCTCTTTGACCAACCGAAACCAGACTACTCTTCACAAAAGAAAAGCTGTAAGCTTTAGAGACTCGGTCTTTGTCCTTTTACCCTTCTACCTAATACAAATAACCTCGTGGTTATGTACTGATCAAAGGTCAAGAATAATAAAACTATGTCACAGCACACCAGAAACTCACAGTTCCAGTGTTTTCACCAAAAGTAGTCATGAGCAGTCATATAGTGCATTTACTTTTAGCCTGATAATCCTATTCTGATACAAGACACCTGCAAATGTTCTCTGGTGACAAAACATCTGCAGTCCCATCTCCTTCAGACTTACGAGCAGTCTGAACTTGTTCGTGGAAGACCATCTCCACAAATGTATTAAATTTAAAGCTGTATGCATGTACTATGGAAACTCATATTTTCAATAACTGAATTTGGCCAAATCAGGCAGATTTTCTGAGAACGAGAAAAGATGTTTCTGACACAGTGACCTAAACATGAGAGAATTCAAGTGCTCCAAAATAAAAAGGCTTAAGAATACAGTTTAAAAACTATTGTTTTTGTTTAACTCTATTCTTAGAATTGGCTGAATCCCAGCCTGAGTTTTTTTTTCCAATGAAATTCAGGTCAGGGACAATTGCTTTTATGTCTAAAGCTTTCACCCCATAGGGTTCCAGATATACAAAGTTAAAAGCAACAGGAATCTTGCAAGAAAGTTGCATGTGCCCCATCTGAAGTGTCATAGGACTGGTAACAGTACCCTTAAAATTAAGGTTTGGGTTGCTAATGTTTTGAATTTAAAGGTTTTTACATAATTTCAGATTAAGGGTTTCTTTCAGATCAGTATTTCGTCATAAATTGTACTTATATTACAAGCAGTAACAACAGACAACTTAATTACTCTAACAGAAGCATGGATTAAAAGGTTATAAGATCACCACCTCCTAGCAGGAACTTGGCAAGTAACCATGAAAAATATTCCAGATTCACTGCTACATTTAGTAAAATAGACTTGTACAACACCTTCACTGGTGATGTTACACAAACCCATTTTAAATTTAGCTACATATACTGATTACTGCATGGCAGTCAAGGAAGAAACTGACTCCACCTGTGTAAGTAAAAAATTTTTCCATTCACAGGCAAAACGTGCCCAACAGCTACAACCCAGTCAGTAAGATTTTAGAATCATAAAATCATAGAATGGCTTGGGTTGGAAAGGACCTCGTAGATCATGTACTTCCAACACTCCTGTCATAGGCAGAGATGTCACTCACTAGACCAGGTTGCCCAGGGCTTCATCTAACCTGGTCTTGAAGGAATGGGGTATTCACAACCTCTCCAGGCAACCTATTCTCAGAGGGTGGTGAAGCACCACTTCAAAATCCATCTGAGGTGGTGAGGAACCACCTTATAATCCACCTCAAATCACCTTGTTCTTAAAGTGGGAATTTCTAGTGAAAGCACTGGAAGCCTAAATTAAATACAGCATATTATAGCCAATCCTATCAAATAGCAGAATCTCTTTTTCTCTCCCAAATTTTGAAAGGTGGAAAGAACAAAATCATCAATTACAAAACTAACATTTAACATTAATTGCAGATATCAGACTTTTGGTTTTACTTTGAATACTGCAGTCTTTAAAATGTTAGTTCATACGAAATTAAAAACACTGCTTATACACCGATTCAGTTACTGTTTACTATAACTCGGGGTGCATGATTTTATCTTTTTATTTTATTTTTAAGTCATAGAATGGGTTGGAAGGAATTCTATAGATCAGCTAATCCCAATCCCCCTGCCATGGGCAGGGACATCTCCCACAAAACCAGGTTGCCCAAAGTTCCATCCAGCCTGGCCTTAAATATCTTCAGGGATGGGGCACCCACAACTTCTCTGGGCAACCTGTGCCAGTGCTTCATCACCCTCTCAGTAAAGAATTTCTTTCTTATATCTAATCTAAATTTACTCTTTCAGGTAGAAGCCATTCCTCCTCATCCCTGAAAAAGGGTCCCTCCCCAGCTTTCCTGTAGGCCCCCTGTTGCTGTAAGATCTTCTAGAGCCTTCTGTCATTCTGCAGGCTGAACGACCCCATCTCCCTCAGCCTGAACATTCAGGGATACTTGGAACATTCCATCAAACTTAAGTATTAAAGCTTTCACGTAGTAGGGATTTTTCCTTTTGGAAGATCCCTGCTGTTTGGTATTTTAACCCTTCCAAACTATTGGAATCCCCTTCTTCTCCAAAGCTCTACCTTCTTTACTAATTAAATTTTTGTTTTAAACCATCTGAAACACTCAGCATCAGCACTCACTTTAGAAAGTAACATTAATGTGGATACTTAAAAGGTGACAAGATAGTAAATTAATTATTAAAACAGGGCAATATTTGGCCTTCAAAAGTGTTTAGCCAGCTGCTATGCCTCAGAACAGAGTGAATACTATACACTTTCCATAGTACAGTGAACTTAATCTATTAAAAAAATACACAAAATATATAAAATCATCTGTTCACCATTATTTTTAGCAAATAGGCCATAATACGATCCCAATTACTATAAGCAATTAGAGTAGCCTTAGGTTTCACGAAGTTGAAATAAAGAACTACAACACTTACTCGTTGGGCAACTTCTGCTGCAGCAGCTGCCATTGCTGCAGCTTTGGCCTTCTCTGCTTCATCATATGTAGGAAGGGAGGTAGCTACACTGTATGGAGGTGGTACAGGATAAAACTCATTGTGTGTTTCTGTTCAAAATAAAGAGGTTATGCATTTTTAAACCAGAAAGATGTCAAGAACAATAAGCTTTATGTGCATAAAACTACTTTAAAACTACTTTAAAGTGCATATTCTCAAGAGTCTGAAATTGATTATATGTGGGGTTCAAGTTCTTAAAAACTTTTGAAACATTTATTTTTATGCAATTAAGTGGTGAACATATTAATGGTTCTCCTAGTTGCTACTACTCAAGGCAGAAACCTTAAAAATAGATGCTTCAAGACACAAACAGTTTATGAAAACAATTCATGAGCTTAGTTATATCTCCAGGTGTTCCAATCAAAGTCTTTTTTTATAAAATCAGAGGAGACATTAAAAGCTTTTTTAGGATGTTTCTTTGCATTTTTAATATTAACCAATTAGTTAAGTATATTAATAATCACACTATATTTTTATTAGCAAGATCCTGTTGCTAACTCCAGTTGTTCCATGAAATTCATTTTCTCCAGATACTCAGTTTCATCATATTCTTTTAAAAATGTTCCTTATATCAAAACAAACCACAGACTTAATTGTTACATATCAAAATAGCAAAGTAAATATAGCATAGAACCACTAATGAAGTGAATAAATCTATTTACAATATACCTCAAGCTTCTGCCTACAGCCAGTAATAGTTTGCACAAGATTGCTTACATGGTAAAGATTTGTCAGCACAGGTCACATGGCAAAAATATGTCAGTACACTACAAAAATGTTTCACGTAGGGCTAATTCAGCACAGCTACATGTTACACTTGCAAACACTGTCTGACAGAGCAGGGATAGGAAATTGCTTCTTTAATCAACGTTAAAGAATTAGGTCATAGATTAATTCCGAAACATTTACTCGGCACATGGGAGATGCAAATCCAGGCAACTTTGCTGAAACAGTGACTTTGATGTTGCCTGCTGTTAAGTCTCCTATACCCTAAAGGAAAGTCACAGTCTCATCAGAAAAGGAGTACTGAATAAATGGGGAAAAAGTCCTGCTTCTAATTTTTCACAAGAAGTTTTATGAAGAGTCTTTAAAGGAAAATGAATCTTTTTCATGGCAATATTTTCACCAAACATGGCACATACTTTTAAGAAGTCTTAGGTTTGACAGGGGAGTGGAGGGGTGTTAAACAGGCAATGAAAAATCCTAATGAGGTCTAATAACGAAGCACTACTCAAACATGTAGATTAAATGTGGAACTGAACTACAGGCAAACTTAAATAAAAGCTAATCATTACACTAATTAATGAACAACCATTTAGTCTAGCAATTTGGAAGAATCAGTGTAATTTAGAAGCGTGCTTCTGAATAAACTGAACAAAGGGCTGTGCATGAAAGCCTAGCTTTTTGCTGCAACTGTGCGCATAGAAAAAATACTGCAGCACCGTACCACTCTGAACCAAGTGCTGATTCATACACACTCCGCTGTGACAAGCTGTTATGTAAGGGAAAATACCTGAGGTTGCAGCTGCTTCTACAGCTATGCTACAGTAAGGTGGGGGGGAAGTATCTGCTTCAGATACGGCTGCTGTCTGAGGAGTCTGTGTAGTCTCCGTAGAAGTGGAAGACTGCTCAGCTGCTGAAGACTCTGGTGGGTCATCCTCATTGTGAAGCTTAAAAGAAAAACAAGCAAATTTCAGGCAATTCTTTACACAACCACCTAACGCTTGCAGGACTGTGATCAAAAAGAGAAAATTGCTCTTCCACAAAACCAAAGGAAATATTTAGGCAAACAGCACATGACTTCTTTAGCCCAGTTAAGTACTTTTAAAGTAAACAGCCAAAAGTAATCTTAACTGCCCCTCCCCCCCCCCCCGATTACTTCTGTTCAGTGACATTCACAGAACTGTTTTAAAAATCTGCATTTTTAATGTTTTCTATTGAGAAAATGCTAAGTTTTAAAATATTAACAGAATAGAAAGTATTTTAAACTGTTAAACAATCTTCTTAAATATGTTAATAAAATATATTAACTGATTTTAAAATACAACAGGTGAGCAAAACTAATTTGACTGTATCAGTCTAGAGGAAATAAAGAAATAACACTACTTGTATGAGTGTAATTCTTATATTGGTGCGTCTCATTAGAGAGCTTCTCCACTCAGATTTTAAGACTTTCCAAAACATTCTGCATTTCTCTACCTTCTGGAAAGAATCCTTTCCTATAAAACTTTAAAATGCTGGTTTGCTTGCTTTTTAAAATGTAGTTCTAAAAGGACACGTCCACTTAAGCTTATGGAGAACTGAGAATTACAATAAGCAAGCATATTTGTTATAACAATAGAATTCAGATATATCAACCAACGTATTTTCTTTGAGAAAGTGTTTTTGATTATTTTAGCTAAATTGATAGTGTTTAGAATCAAACTAAGAAGGAAGAGTACAAGCTTGATACAAAAGAAGTATTAGTACATACTGAACATTAGTGTTCACACCAGGGTAAACTACGAGATGCCTATGATGACTACTGAGGCATTCATATTTAAAACACACAAAGTCAAGTGAATAAATTGAACATATCTGAAGCAAGAATTCTGTACGATGTTTTTAGAAACTGTCAAAGCTATAGAAGATTATTGTCCTAGCAATAACAAAAAAATACTAAGAACATATCATTACTTTTGTATTGGGCAAAGTGTAGTCAGATTATTGGAAAATAAGAATGCTAAACAAATCTTATTACCTAGCATTATATTCTTACAAAAATTACTGTATATCCAGAGTATATCTAAGTTCTGCAGGTTATAAATTCTGTGCTTTTCTTTCTAATGATAAACTAGTGATACCAGAACGAATTACAAGCAAAGAGGACATTTCAACTAAAGACAGGTAAATTGAAAAGACAGGTCAAGGGCAAACAGAAAATACTTCAAAAAAGTTACTGTGACAGAACAACTTCATGAGATTTTCATACGGCTTCTATGCTATTGTCTTTAAAGCTGTCAAATTTGAAAAAGTGGTAAGTTACTTGTTAAAGCCTTTTTCAAGAGTCTTTCCAAATACTGCATCCAAAGAACTATAGCTTAAAGAGGAAAGGTTTTATCTGTATATATAGCAGACATATACACAAACCTACATACATACACATACACGCACACAAGCACACACTATTAGAGAGGTCACCTTGCATAGAACTGATAGAGGTTATTGAAGGTCTCTGGGTACTGAGCAGTCAGGTCATTTAGTGCCTAGTCAGTGATCCAGAAAAAGCAGTAAACTGAGAAATATGTAAAGCTATTTATAGTAGTTAAGGCCTGAAAAAAGAAAACCACTTCAAAATAACCTAATGTATTTAGAGATACTGAAAGCATGTGAGAAGACAAGACACTTGATTCTAGAAAGGTCAAGCAGATCAGATAAATATCCTGAAAGATAGAAACCTCATGGTTCTACATTAAGTAAAATCATTCACAAGGGTAATATGGTATTGATATAGCTAACAAAACTACTTTTAAATAAAATTATCATTTTATTAGCAATGAGACAACAGAATTTTGTCTCTAACAAAATTATTGGCTTTTTGTATTCTATGATTAATGGCTAGTACACAAAATACAAATGGCATCTGGGATGCATGCATAGGTCTGACTGCCTCACTGCAACAAACTGGAGAAGGGGAAGTAAAGCCTAGTTAATGTATTTCTGTCTGTTATCTTCGTTCCTCCTTCCTTCTTGCTGTCTGCTTCAATAATAGCTTTTTTTTCCTCCTGCCAATATACCGCTTGTGCTGTGACCATTCTACAAAGATTCACAGCACCAATTGGTCAAGGAGCAGATCACTGCTCAATACCCACTCCGACATTACTGAGGAAATTAATTTTGTCTCTTCTACTCGGTTTCTTGAAAGCTACCTTCCTCCAGATTAAAATTTATTAACAGCTACAAATTATGGAGGTAACATTAGGTGCATATTATTCTCCCAACCCAAGACTGCTTCACTTCAGTGTTAACAAGTCATTCAATTGTTGTAGCAAGTGCAATTAGGAAACAGAGAAACTCCATACTACAGGCTTTATACAAAGGAGTCCTGTTATGCCTTTTAGAGCATTGAGAAGGCATAGTTCTGACTGTTGTTTATTATGACTCATTCAGAGACTAAGTATTTCTATTTATGATCCTGTCTTTTATTTTACTCTATAGACCTTTCAGAAATTCTGAAGTGTATAAAGGTTATCCTGTTGCAGTAAGACAATCACAACATTCCTTACAGGATACCCCAGCATTAAAATCACAGGAAGCGGCTTAAGAAGCTTGAGTATTTACAGCTAGAGTAATAAATACTAATTGTCCCATGTGCAGAAGCTAGCTTTTGTTAGTGCTGGTTCAAGTGTTGTCTCCTACTCTCTCCTCAAGGCAGTAACTTCAGCTCTTCTGCTCTCCTCAGACTCCAGTGGAAAAAAAATTAAAAATAAAACAAAAAGCATAGCTTGCTCTGGCAAGCTGGAAGTTCTGCTTATGCCAACAGGGTAAACGTGCTGCAAGACAGGACGGTACAACCGCCTCTATCTGCCTTGTCTTCACAGGGCGCTGATCCTCCTCTGTGGAGTCACCAGTTTGCTGGCAACCTGTAGGAGCCCAACTCTCTTCAAACCTCCCCCTGCCCGTTTAATTTTGGCATATACTGGCTGGTAAATTTAGAAGGTATTTTTGGAGACAGGGGAAGAAGAGGCCTGACACACTGCATTGGTTTCATTTCCATAGAAACCAGGCTAAAAACACTCAGAAGGGAACAGAAAACGTCTGTTTCAAGGTATTACTTAAGCTACGTACTTAAACATTACCTTTGCAGTATTTAACATTAAAAGTGAAGAAATCAGACCTAGAAAGTTTTCCAACTGCAACATTACTTTTGCCCGCCTCTTTAATTAAAGGAATAAGGGGAAATTACAGATTACAGTTCAACCCCCCCATCACCACGACTATATAGTTGTAAGCAATACAACTGCATTTGCCAAGATAACAGCCAAAAAAATAAACAAACAAACAAAAAAAAAGAAACAAAACACAATTGCTAGGACCTCTTAAACTACAAGCAACTGCAAGCTACCACCTTCCCCTGCCCTCATCACAGCATTTTAAAAGTGGGATGCAAAGACATTTTTCCCTGTTATTTCTGTATCAAACTTTCTTCTGAAAAAATGCTTTCCTTTGTGACTGTAGTTTAGTTGGCCATACCTAGCAATAGTTAGCTGTCTAGAAATTCATCTTCATAAAATCCAAAGCAGATTCCTTTAAATCTTGGGTGTATGCAGTGTATCTGGCCGACCAGAAGCTTTACAATTAAAAAGGGAATATTTGTTAATAGACCTGTATTTCTCTTAAACTATACACATAAGTATTTCAACTCCAGCTTTCACAGCCCTTGAACTACAGTACACTCCAGGCTGAAGAGTCAGATGTATCTGTCTTAGCAGATACATTGCAAGATGTGTCTGTCTTAGCACAGCTAAAATTCAAAGCTAGATATAGCAGCAATGTTTTTTCTGACAAACGCTCAAGATCTCATGGAGACTGCCAGAGAATATCTGCGATGTAGAAAAAAACACATGGTAAAAGTCACCTGAAGAAAAATAATACACCTTCAGTTTATTTCGCAGAAAACGTCTATAAAACAATAATTCACTATTTCATTCCATAAGAAGCTAAAAATCAGGGACAGAAATTCCAGCATAAAAATGTTTGAAAATACAGCTATTTTAGCATTTAATTTTTATTGCAAATCACTTCTTTAGGTGCTGCATCTTCTCCTTTCCTTAAGTCCTCTATTTCGTTTGTGTAGTTATTTCCAAAGTAATCAGATTGATACCTAAAATCTACTTACACACTATACAGAACATGAACCAGAAGAAAGTGCTTGGTACAGGGTCCTTTCCTGAAGGGACAAGCATGGATATTTTCACTCTTTAAGCCTTCAAAGAAGAGGAAAAAAAAGTAAACAAAAAAAGAGAACTACCTCACTCTCTGCTTACGCTTTTCTTTTGCCTGCAACTGTAATTTTCTCTGACCTACAGAACTTTGCTGTAACATTTTGCTTCATTTCATAGAACTGTTTAGGTTGGAAAGGACATTAAAGACCATCTATCTCCAACCCTCCTGCCCTGGGCAGGGACAACTCCCACCACACCAGGTTGCTCAAAGCCCCATCCAGCGTGGCCTTGAACACCTCCAGGGATGGGGCATCCACAGCTTCTCTGGGCAGCCTGTGCCAGTGCCATCCTCAGAGTAAGGAATTTCTTCCTTTCCATCTAATCTAAATCCCCCCTCTTTCAGTTTAAATCCATTACTCCGGTCAATGCGTATGTGATACATTGACTGACTTGTAGAAGAGTGGCAATATAGGCAAGTTGTTAAAATACACTAAATTTTAAAAAGGGCACAGGAAAAAGATATCATGCGATGACATCTAATGCCACATGTTTGCTATTTGCACAAGATTAGAATGATGTTTTCTGGTTAACATAGATAAAGTAACACATGCCAGCTCTATTCGCACTGATAGGTTAACATACACAAAAAACACTCAGTAACTCTGGTGACTAATTTTCTGCACATTCCTTAAAAAGTTGTAGATTTCCATTTAAAAAAAAAAAATGATTTACAGAAGTTCAGTACA